CGGGCGCCGGCCTTCCCGGGAGTCCTTGCCGAGCGCCCGCAGCCGGGCGGCCTTTCCGCCCCCCCCTCTGGTCCTCGTCATCTGCGACGGCCGTTTGGTTAGTGAGAAGTGACCTCTGGGCGGGCGACTGTCTGGGCTCCGGTAGGTTTGTGCTTTGTCAGCCGTCGGGTTACTTCTCGGGGCCGCACGGGGACCGGGCACCGGCTGCCTGTCTGTCTCGCGGGAGCCCCTGCGGGAAGCGCACGACGGCGCCGTGTCTGCAGAGACCTCAGCCCGGTGGGGCAGCCGCAGGCCGGGCTGGGCAGCCTGCGGCAGAGTCGGCGCCCAGTGCCAGCCGTTGGCTGCCTGTCGTGGGGCGGGGGAGCTGCTGGGGCTGCTGTCACGTGTGGGGCTGACGGGAAAGGTCCACGCCAGCGAAGCGGCCCGGCCAGCAGTGGAGCCGGGCGAGCCGGGTGCCAGTGGCCTGCAGGGTGTCCCCGCCTCCAGCCTCTCCTCCTGCCGCAGCGGGCACCGGAGGGCTGACCCCCGGGGGCCCTGGGAGCTGCCGGGAGAGCCTTCTGTTCCTCACGGGCAAGCCCCTGCCCCCCACGAGCGCCCACGTTCTTGGGCACCCGCGTGCTCCTGTGCCTGCCGTCTCCCGCTTCTCCCTGGGACAGGGCGCCGCCTGCGCTTGGGGCCGCTTTCTCCGCCCCGTGGGGGCTGCCCTCTCGCTGCGCCCCTGCTGAGAGCCAGCCGCCCGGGCTCTGCAGGGCAGTGTGGAGCGTGGGCTGTACCCAGGGTTGAGTCTAGCCCCCAGCGGTCGCGTGGGCGTCCTGGCCACCGCCCCGGCCGGGCGCTCAGGTCCGAGCCCCGGAGGTCAGAGCGGCCCTGCGGCAGCTTCCTCTTTGGCTTGGCGGCTCTCTTGCCGTTTTCCTGGGACTTGACATCTGGCGGCTTTAAAAGCTCCAGGGGGTAGTTCTCACCGCGTGAGATCTGACTTGCGTCGAGTGTTCGGTTTGTAGCTATTGCGGTGGCTTTGGTTGACAGTTGGGCCCAGCTCCCCGGAGGCAGCGCCGGCCAGGCCTGCCCCGCAGGATCCTGGCACGTGCCGGGACTCAGTGGGTCTGTTAGGGCGTGGCAGGTCCGCCCCTCCAGGCGAGGTCGCTCCCCGGGGGGCCTGCTGTGACTCCGCCAGGGTGGTGCCCGCC